TTTTTTTTCCCCTTGCCACGGGATCTCTTTATGTTGCCCAGGCTTATCTCAAATTCGGAGGTCCAAGTGTGCATCCCGCCTCAGCCTCCGGAATAGCTGGGACTACAGGCGCACATCACTATGCCCAGCGCTGGCCACGTTAAAGTGCACAGCTCTGTGGGACTGAGTCAATTCACAGTGTTGTGCAAGCACCCTACTCCCTTGGCTGTCTTCCTTATTCCCATCAGCAGCCCCTGGTCAGCTTTCTGTGTGTATGGATTTGCCTGTTCTGGACATTTCATAGAATCGGGCCCATTGTCAGTGTCCTGATGTGTCTGGCTTCATTCACCTACCACGTTTCCAAGCTCCATCCAGGTTGTAACATGAATCAGTTCTTCATTCCTTCTGATGGTTGCATAGTATTCCCCTGCATGCACATAGTACATTCTGTTTAGCCATCACTTGATGGGCAGTTGGCTTGTGTCCCCCTTGTGGTCGATGTGAGTAATTCTGCTATGAGCATTTGTGAGTACATTTTCATTTGGCTACTTCTGTTCCTCCCTCCCCCATTCTTTATTGTATTTTATTTATTTATTTATTTTGTCTTTTTGAGACAGGGTCTCGCTATGCAGTTCAGGCTAGTCTTGAGCTCACACTGTAGCCCAGGCTGGCCTCAAGCTTGCCACGATCCTCCTGCCTCAGCCTCCGGAGTGCTGGGATTGCAGGCGTGTACCACCACGCCCGGCTTTCCCCCATTTTTTAATTTCTTTGGTTTTTGGAACTGCCAAGCTGTGTTCCACATCGGCTGCACTATTTTCTGTTCCCACCACTAGTGAGCAAGTGATCCAGTTTGCCACATCTCACCAACAATTATTTTTTCTTCTTCCCCTTTTTGTTGTTATAACACCCTAGTGGGTATGAAGCCGTATCTTTTTTTCCTTTTTTTTTTTTTTTTTTGAGACAGGGTCTCACTATGCAGTTCAGGCTGGCCTTGAGCTCACTTTGTAGCCCAGGCTGGCCTCAAACTCGCAACGACCCTCCTGCCTCAGCCTCCCGAGTGCTGGGATTACAGGCGTGCGCCACCACGCCCAGCGAAGTCATATCTCATTGTGGGTTTGATCTGCATTTCCTAATGACTAATGGTGAGCATAGGAGTCATTATGAAAAAAATGGGTGAATGTTCAAGTAAAAAAAATTATTACAGCAAAAGACACATTGCCATGAATCCACCTGGAAATTCTCCCCTGCACTTTGAGCACATTCATCCCATCATGCAGGCACTTTCTGCAGCAGCTCTTCTTTCCTGAGGGTCTCTAGTCACGCCGTCCTCGCTGCCTCGATATCCTGAACTGCTTCCGTCTCCCTGTCATACTCATTTTGATTTTGGGGAAGTGCCAGAGATTGCTCGGTGCCAGATCCAGTGAATAAGCCGAGAACCCAGCAGTGCGTTTTTACCAACAGTACCGGCTATCACCGAACTTTCTGATCACCTCTCATAAAGACACTCAGGAAAGAGGGCTTTAGAGCGATTTCAGAAAGTGGCAAGGACGGCCAGGCGCCTTTGGTGCATGCTTTTAATCCCAGCACTTGGGAGGCTGAGGCAAGCGGATTGCCACAAATTCGAAGCCAACCTGGGTTACATAGTGAAGCCCCATATCCAAACAAACAAAAAGGGCGGATCACAGAAAATGGCAAGGATGGGGGCACAAGTGTGTTTAAAGTAAGGAGGTGGATTTGGGGGGGATTCGTGGCAACATGTCTTTTTTTTTTCTTTTTGAGACAGGGTCTCGCTATGCAGTTCGGGCCGGCCTTGAGCTCACTTTGTAGCCCAGGCTGGTCTCGAACTCACAATGATCTTCCTGCCTCAGCCTCCCAAGTGCTGGGATTACAGGTGTGGGCCACCACGCCCACGTACGGTTGTTTTATTTCTATTCTTTTTTTTTTTTTTTTTGGTTTTCTTCCGGTACCCAGAATCGAACTCGCGACCTTGTGCTTGCCAGGCAGGCGCTGTGCCGCTGAGCTAAATCCCCAGCCCCCGGTTGTTTTAACGTGTCTTTTTAAAATGTGTCTTTCCCTGTAATAAATTTTTAGACATTTACCATATATTGCGATCATCACCCCATGCATGCTGCAGTTTACCTGTCTTTAGAGGAGTGTGTCCCAGCTCTTTGCCAGCGGGGAGATCTTAGGGCTCTCCAAGCCCCCGTTTCCTATGGCGGTGCCCCCGCAGGAGGAAAGGAGGCCCTCCAGTTGGAATGCCAGGATGGGGGGTGGCACTCTTCCACTCCAAAGTCTCTCAGCAACTAGAAACGAATTTTAAACCAGGTATGAGGGCATACATCTGTAATCTGAGCCCTCTGGGAGGCTGAGGCAGGAGGATCGAAGAGTCAAGACCAGCCTGGGCAATTTAGGGGTTTAGCAAGACCCTGTCTCAAAATAAAACGGGGCCGGGGAAGTAGCTCAGCGTGAAGCCCCTGGGTTCCATCCCCAGGACCGAAATAATGAATTAACATGGCAGTGGGGAGGTGAGAGGGCCAGGGGGCCGGTTCTTGGGCCCCTAAGAGAGGGGATGAGCAGCCCCCGCGACCTCGGCTGGCCAGCGCCCCCCTCGCGTCCCCCTGCAGACACGGAGGGCTGTGACCGCGGCTGGCACAAGTTCCAGGGCCACTGCTACCGCTACTTCGCGCACCGGCGGGCGTGGGAGGAGGCGGAGAGGGACTGCCGCCGCCGCGCCGGCCACCTGAGCAGTGTCCACTCCCAGGAGGAGCACAGCTTCATTAACAGTAGGGGCCGCGGGGACGGAGGGTGCCCAGCGCCGCTGCCCCGCCGGTGCCTCCGCTCCCCGTGCCGGGCGCAGGGTGCGGCGCTGCC